GGGGGGGGGGGGAGGAGGGGGGAGGGAAGGAAGGGGGGGGGGGGGGGTTATGGTCCTTAACGAGCTACTTATAGTGTTTTAAAGAAATATTTTCAGTGTCAGCGTTGGTACTGTCGAATTCACAAATTATGAATTATTGAAAATTAGAAACAACTAAATAGCGGCGTATGTTATGCCGCGGGCCGGCTCGTAAATTATACACTACTAATTAAATAACTATAAAGAAAAGCGTTGGTCACTTTAGTATCTATTGGATACCTTTACTAATATTTAGGAAGAGACCCACGTTTTTCCTTATAGTTATTTAAATAGTAGTGTATCATTTATTTTCTCCTTTTTAGTGCATTATTACATAAAAGCTTGTTATTAAAACGTATTTTTATGACATTTTTCTCTTAAGAGTGATTTATTATATCCGAAACAATAATTCTAATTTAAGATCTTTATTTTACACAAAACTACTCTCAAAAAATTTGTATTCGAAAACCACTAATTCTTTAAAATGAGAATCAGCTAGATACATTTAAAAAAATGAGTCGGCATGGTCGAGTCGTAAAGCTCATCGTTGCTAAACCGAAAAGTCTCGAGTTCGAACCCTCGGGCAGATGAGGCTCGTTAGCTGGGGACAGCCACTCTTCTAGGAGAGACAACTCCAAAATCAAACAACTGCTCCCTTGTAGTTTGTTCTAGGTAGGACAAAGGCTATGGAAGCAAACCAAAAACAAAAACAGGTTTTAGACGGAGTCAATGGCCTCAATGGCGCATAACCAGTTGACACGCATTCTTTAATGGAGGGGATCCATTACAACACTAAAATTAAGAACGCAGAAGAAGGATATTTTTTTTTAAATTCTGAGTTGAAATGCCGGTTCAAATAAAAAAATATTTATTTATTTCACTTTCGTTGTAAAATTATCTCTAACATAACACGCAAGGTAGTGTGACAGTCACTCATCGATCCAAGCATTTGAACTTTATCGTCGAGATAAATTGCTCTTAGTTAGTCGATGCCTTATACGAGATTCTATGCTGACGCCAAAGAAAACACGATAATCGTTTAATATTTTATTCTAGCTTAGCTTATCCGAATTGAAATAAATTCCCCAAGAAATACCCTTGGTAGGAATACAACATTTAGATCACCTACTCTGGCGTAGTACGGTTTCTCAAGTCAGTATTAATTAATTGATTTATTATTAGTGTCGACTAGGTGAGAGTTAAGTCGGCGAGATCAACTCGTCGAACGGTCGGCTGGGCGCCACAATAAGTTATGTAAAAATTCAAATTCCTTCATTTGAGAAGCTTGAACATAATTTTCTGTACGGAAAGAAAAAAAAAGAATACTAAGCGTTTTCATTGCTATCCGCTTCGAGTTTCGAACCCAAGACCTCTACCATCAAACTAATACGCGTCTTGAAGTTCAAACCCAGGTTTTCGATGTATCGTAACACAAGTATCTGCCTCGAAAGTCGAACATATAACCTCAATTCGACATCACACAATATCCATCGCGTACTTCGAACTTAATTAATTTCAACGTAAATTTCAACATTAATTTCAACATTAATTTCAACATTCAACAAATTCTTATAATATCCATAGATTCTCTGCGTTGTAAATAAATCCACAGCATCCGTCCAGCGATGCGACAACGTACCTAGCGCCACCAATAGCACCGCCAATAGAATCTTCATCCTGGAAGATTTTACCTGAGCAGGTAGATTACATCTGCACGTTTTTTCAAGGTTTTATACCTGCAGTGTTATCAGACGTATGGCGTTCACGTTAAATGGCAATAATTTAAAAAATATTAATTTGTAATTATAAGCTAGTTGGTCGTCACGAACTACATCTAATTAGGTTAATTATCTGCGTGCGAATTAGCAGGTGTTGTAAATAGATTAATTTCAGTTCTGCACGACTAGCTGTTACACTTTTTTTTTAAATTTAAAAAAAAAATAATTTAGTTTATTAAAAAAATAATACATCTTTTTTTTTTGGGTCACATACATTTATATTTGCGGAATTTTCTAGAACCCTTTACATTTGAATCGTCTTTTAAAAAAATACATATACTCTCCGTTCATTTTGTTGTTAGAGTATAATTCAGGGGCGGAACTACAGTGCCGCCAGACCCCGCAATGCGGGGGGGGGGGGGCCCACGCTATTTTAGGGGCCCATAGCCGACCATAATAAATTTTTTAAAGTTACAAAAAACATTTCTTGCACTTTTTGACTTGACGGTATAAGCTTTTGTAAATAACAAACAGATCTACTACAGTTGTGATCTTATATAGTAGCTAACACATGCTGTTGCGTAAAAAAAATATGTGCCTGAGCTGTAGTGTGAAAGATAGGCAAACGTTCAAAACCCTTCCATGACTTATTTCCCTTTTTTAAATGGTTAAATAGGGGTACTCATAAGCTCCTTTTAATATATTTGTACTAAACAAATTAAAAGCAATTACTTCTCTTAAATATTATTTTAAAAAAATAAAATCTAAAGATTGGCGTAGTATAAAAAGGAAATATATTTAAAACAAGTAAAATAAATACCAAAAAAACATAGAAATAAACATAACACGAGAAACCATTACACATACAAAGCTTTCAAGTTATATATGTTTTGACCGGGTAAATACTAAAAGGGTCGGCTGAATTACAGCAAACATATTGAAAAAAGTAGTTCTAAATTACGTAAAGAATTTGATATTGATGTACTTGTTTTAATTGCAAATAAAAGTATAATAAAAAAATAACTAGTTCTAAATTCAAAAAAGAATAAATAAATAAATCAAAACAGACCAATGCACTAACACACATGACATGTTGTAATTTGTTTAAATTGAAAAAAAAAACAATTTTTTTTTAAAACCCGATCAGGCCAGAAATGAGTATCTAATTTATGTGTTCTGTGTTTGTATATAAATCCACGGAGGCGTAGCGAGAGGGGGGGGGGGGACATGTGTCCCCGGGCGCCGACTTTAGGGGCGCCAAATATGGTTTGAAAAACAAATTGAAAGTTTGAGGGGGGGGGGGTGAGAAAATCAAAAGTTCGAGGGGGGGGGGAGGAGGTGCAAATCGAAAGCTTGTCCCCGGGCGCATGGAAGGGTCGCTACGCCTCTGTATATATATATATATATATATATATATATATATATATATATATATATATATATATATATATATATATATATATATATATATATATATATATATAAGAGGGGGGCCCAGAAATTTTTTTTTGCGGGGTGGCCCGTTTTTTCTAGTTCCGCCACTGGTATAATTATGTTTTATTTACTTCTATAAATAAAAATTACAATTTCGGAACAGCTGATGATTATTTTCAAATGCGAAAAATAATCTGAAATAAGAATTTACGGTCGTTGTACTGATTTCTGTCTGATCATTTTCTCTGTTTTAACTTTTTTAGTTTTTTATGGACTGGCTTTTGCTTTAAAAAAAAGTAATCTATATTGTATCCACGTAAAAAACACAAATAATTAAAGTTTAAATTTTTAAAAGTTCATTTTTTTTTAAAAATTAGACCAGCTGAGTGTATAATTAATTGGCCTAATTGATGAAACTCGAAATATTGAAGTCATGAACATTTGTATGTGATGTTTATAACAGTTAAAAAAAATATAAGTCTTGATGATATTGAGAACTTGTTATTTTAAAATGAACAACAAATGTTGTAGAGTATATTGGTATGTACATTATACATAACCAGGGTATTTAAAAAATGTACTTGTGGTAAGAGGAAAAAATTGTTGATCGCTTTTCTAAAGGTATTTTATTATAATTATAGTATAAGATTATCCGGGTTAGTAAATAGCAATATCAATGATATATTTGTTTTTCATTTATTGAATCATATTATAACTCAGAGATAAAAAACAAATTGGATGTCTATAACAGCTTCTTCTAACAATGTAGTTTGATTATTTTGTTACATTGCATATAGTTTTTTGTCATTTTGATTAATTAATTAAACAGCAAATGATGTTAACACTGCCGCGTAATCTAATCGCCACTTGAAGTTTTTAGACGCTTTTTTTGTTGTTCTTTCAACGTAATGAAATTTTAATTTTTTTTTAATTAGATAAGAAACACATTTTGTTTTCCCAGACTTAGTAAGATAAAATGGTAACTTGGCTATTTTTTGTTGATTTCGGTTTTAACCGGTTAAAGGTTGATTTTTTTGAGTAGTTTAATCTTGACTAAAGGGGGCAGTGTAATGTTGATCAAATGTTATTGTGTAGTATAGACCACAGCGGTGTAGTGAGATGTTGATTAATGGGTATTGTGTAATTTAGACCAAAATGGTGTTGTGTAATGCAGACCACAATGGTGTTGTATAATTTAGACCACAATGGTGTTGTATAATTTAGACCAAAATGGTATTGTGTAATGTAGACCAAAATGGTGTTGTGTAATGTAGACCACAAAGGTGTTGGGGAATGTAAAACACAATGGTGTTGTATATTGTAGACCACAAGGGTTTTGGGGAATGTAGACCACAAAGGTGTTGTGTAATATTGACTGAACGGTCAAGCTAAGTTGAATGCTGGATCTAAGGGAGATTGGTATATTTGTAGAATATGATTGGCCGTGTGACTCCGTGTGCTGCTTGGCATAATCTTCGATTTCCTGCTCTTCTACAGGGGTTAGACCAGTGAGACTTATAAGTACCAGAAGACTCCTCAGCATTGACTGTCAGAATCCACCCAACACCAGGGAAAAAGGATTGAAAAATTACATAATTACACAGTAATTCTTGATCTGATTATAAGTTAATTCTTAATTGTATCTTTTGTGAAAAAAAAAACAAATAATCACCATAGACTATATTTTCACGGTAATTCTATCTTCGATTGTAACTCAAAAACACCAATTCTATGATGATTTTAGCCCAAATTTGCAAATATCAAAGGTGATTTTTTTTTGAGAAAAAATAAATATTGTTCACAATTATACAAAAAGAAAGGTAAAAAGAATTATATTTAGCTTTAATATTTGATTTTTATTCGATATAACGTATACAGTAAAACGGCGTAGCAAAGCTGATGGAAAATTAAGTATTAGTTAAGCTTGCGATAGTAGGGCTTAATCTATCCTGAGAAGTATCGCTCTCCTGGAAGTCTTTGACTTAACCGTTGAGGAGTGGAGCCAGCCAGTTCTTGAGCTCAATGACGTCAGTGTAGACACCTGGTCTGCCGGCTTCAGCGCAGCCGTAGCCCCAGCTTACGATACCTAGGGAAAAAATATACAAGGAGCTGTTTAGGAGCTGTTTTGGAGCTGTTTTCAAATAATAAATGTTATTTACCTAGCTTACGGTACCTGGGGAAATTGGATTTGCGTTTTTAAAATAGGGACTATTACAATGGGGTTAGCCGGCCCCAGTCGCCGGTTAAGGTGATGAAGATGAGGGATGGGGGTGGTGGAGTGTATGAGGATGGTGATACCGAAAAAAAAACAACAACATACAAACAAAAAAGAGAAAAAAAAATGTCCTAGAAATATATAAAAGATATAAATATAGGATAGACATGTGAGTTGATGTAACCACTGAATGATTAATGTTCAACGTCGGTTATAAATGTAGTGACTAGATACAGAGGCGTAGCCATCAACTCCGGCGCCTGGGGCGAACTATCAGTTTTACATGTGTGTGTAAGTGTGAGTGTGTGTGTAAATGTGAGTGTGTGTGTGAGTGTGTGAGTGTGTGTGTGAATGTGTGTGTTTATGTGTTTTTAAAATAGATTAGAAAGAAACAAAAACAAAGAAGAAACTTTGTTTTTGTTTTTAACTTAAGAAAAAAATATCTGCTGTAATAGATTTTTGGAACAATCATTAGAATTTATATGTTTTTTTTTTTAAATTATTAAGTCGAATCAAAGCAACACACGATTTGAATTTAGACGTGGTATAAACTATAAGGAGATGTATCTATTCTTTCTCGGCAGACTAGTTAAGAAGTGTAGTGAACTAAACAGTAAGTGATTCTAGCATTATGGCATATTATAGAGATGGTGGTGGGTGGGGGGAGGGGAAGAAGAGTGATGTTTTTACCTGTGAGTGTCCACCTGTTCTCTCTGTAGGTGTAGAGTGGGCCGCCACTGTCACCCTGGGGATAGAACAATTAAAAATGGTCAAACTTTGAGAACAGGCTTGTGGGCTTACATGGGCTCAGCTAAAGCCTAGCATAAAACTTCAGATTCTCAACTACAAATTAAGACTACAGTTACTGGCTAACTAACAATAAGTGGCTAAGTTAACTGCTCCTTTTTAACAACCTAATCGTTATATAGACACTAAAAATTTAAAATTGGTTAAATTAATCGCTTAGTTAACCGCTCCTTTTTTAACAACTAATCGTTAGGTAGACAGGGAAAAGTTAGACTTTTACTGGTTAAATTAACGGCTAAGTTAACCGCTCCTTTATAACCACGAATCTTTATGTAGACACTAAAAAGTTAGACTTACAAAAAACTGGTTAAATTAACGGCTACTGGTTAAGTTGAGAGTGAGTACGTACCTGGCATGAGTCGACACCTCCCTCAGGTAAACCAGCACACAACATCCTCAAGGTGATGGAGCCAGCACCGTACCTGTCGATGCAGGTTTGTCTGGATTTGATTGGCTTGGAGACTTGGTGGAGTCTGTAGGGTGAGGTTCCACCTGAAGATCGCAAAAAGTAGTTTGTTTAGTTTAGCTTTCAAGTTACTTGCACACAAAAAACGTAAAACATACTCAAAATTCTCAATAGAATGGTAAGTTACACACAAGTCAAGTACAAAACGTAAAACATACTCAAAATTTCTTAATAGAATGGTAAGTTACACACAAGTCAAGTACAAAACGTAAAACATGCTCAAAATTTCAAGCACAAAAATGTAAAAATTTCAATAAAATCCTACTGAAAGCGTTCAACTAAACGAGGAGGATAAAATAACGAAATTTTAACAATAATTATGATAATTAAAAATTTAAAACAAAATGGCAAAATTCGAAATCAATCAGCAGAGGTGATATTTGTTTTGTCTATTTATTGATAAGTAGATATGGTTTGAAATTTATAAAATTAAAATATAAGAACTGTAAATTGTAATTTCCCCCACTATATTACTGATTTTGACAGTATAGGTTATTTAAAAATACGCATTTTGGTTTAGTCAGTGCGGGCTATTTTAAAATTTTGGCATTTATTTTAGGCAGTACGGGCTATTTTAAAATTTTGGCATTTCCGTTTCCTTCAGTACGGGGTAATCGTACACTCACCAGCGGTAAGAGTTCCCCATCCAGCGACGATGGCTTTTTCGCCCTCGTTCCAGCCCTCGTTGGGTAGACAGACGGCGGAGATGTAGGAGTTGGTGGGGAGGGCGGTGGAGACACGGAAGATGGAGATGTCGTAGTCCAAGGTCCAGTCGTTGTATTGGCTGGGAGATACAGGTAGAGGAAGGATTGAATGATACGTTCATACATTTACCTTTAGTCGTTGTATTGGCTGGAAGATACAGGTAGAGGAAGGATTGAATGATATGTTCATACATTTACCTTTAGTCGTTGTATTGGCTGGAAGATACAGGTAGAGGAAGGATTAAATATGTTCTTACATTTACCTTTAGTCGTTGTATTGGCTGGAAGATACAGGTAGAGGAAGGATTGAATGATATGTTCATACATTTACCTTTAGTCGTTGTATTGGCTGGAAGATACAGGTAGAGGAAGGATTGAATGATATGTTCATACATTTACCTTTAGTCGTTGTATTGGCTGGAAGATTGGTAGAGGAAGGATTGAATGATACGTTCATACACTGACGGCTGTTTTTACTTTACAATGATGAAACTTTTAACACACGCGTGAGCAGTATTCAAAATAAAACACCTGTGCCCAACACACCTATAACAACACACCTGTGGCCACTTCACATGTGACACCTGTGCACAACACAACTGTGCCCAACACACATGTGACCATCACACCTGTGCCCAACACACCTATAACAACACACTTGTGGCCACTTCACCTGTGACACCTGTGCCCAACACAACTGTGGCCACTTCACCTGTGACACCTGTGCCCAACACAACTGTGGCCACTTCACCTGTGACACCTGTGCCCAACACAACTGTGGCCACTTCACCTGTGACACCTGTGCCCAACACAACTGTGCCCAACCCACCTTTTCCCAACACGCCTGTGCCCAACCCACCTTTTCCCAACACACCTGTGCCCAACACACCTGTGCCCAACACACCTGTGCCCAACACACCTGTACCCAACACACCTGTGACAACACACCTGTGCCCAACTCACCTGTGTACATTGAGTTCAGAGAAGTAGATGATGACTCTGTGTGGTTGAGTGGTGGCAGCTCTGTCGTAGATACCACAGTGGGCAACGTACCTGGAGGCTTGACGGTTGCTGGGGAATCAAAAAACATTGGGATAATTCTACACATGATCACATAGACAGGTACAAGAATTCACTATTGTAAACCAGAATGTTTGGAATATTTCTACACATGATCTCATAGACAGGTACAAGAATTCACGATTTTAAACCAGAATGTAAGGAATATTTCTACACATGATCACATAGACTGGTACAAGAATTCACGATTTTAAACCATAATGTTTAGAATAGTTCTATACATGTTCACATAGGTACTGGGATACACGACTGTAGCCCAAATGCAAAGAATATCTCTATAGGCATCATCTTCAATATACGTGAACATAGTTTTTAAAATTGCCTTATTTTAGTTAAAATTGCATTATTTCTGTTGGTTTGAAAGCTATGTTGAATATAGATTCCTTTACGACGAGTTCAAAGGCAGATCTACAGAGAAATACGCGAACTCTACTTTATCCGTCTACTATAACACGCAATTTGGCACTGTTTTGTGGTAATAAACATATATAGATCTACACACGCACACACAGACACACATCAAAACAAAAACAGGACTTACGTGGTGCAGTGAGCGGCTGTGATCAAGAAATATTGACCGGCCAAGTTCTTGACCAAGTTAGCTCCACACATGTGGGAGTTTGGTGAGGTGGAGGATCTCAAACTGCACTGTGGGGGGTGGATTTTTATACATTATTAGCATGACGTATTGTGGGAATTTCATAACAATAAAATTTAAAACAAATAATAAAGAGTTTTACAATAAAAATCGTGTACGCATGCACTTGAATAAAAATAAAATATATAACAAGCTTTTATTTTTATTCTTAGAATATAAAGTAATACGATTTAAAAAGAAAATGCTGTTTTACTTTATAGATAACTGCAAAGAAAACTACTGGTCGGTATCTCATGTACATAAAAGGAATTTGCTTTTGGGGCTAATTTTTAATGTAAATAGGATCTAAGAATGATTATATATGTACCGATTTAGTATAGACCCCTACTTTTATATAAAAAGCACGGGTAGCCAATTAGCCTACTTCCAAAATCGATAGCTTAATTATTTTTCGAAACTGAATACCCTTTCTAAGATTTAATAAGCATGCGCCCGGTGCTAATATAGTTACATAATAGTGCATTTAGATAATGTTTAAATAAAAAACATTGTCTTTGACTTACGATAGCTGGCCAGGAGTATGGAACAGCTTCTTGACCACCGACGATCTTGTTGACCAATGAAAGCTCAGACACTCCGTTTCCGGAAACCAGAGGGCGTTGACCACATCCGGCTGCGTCAATCTTCTCATAACGACTGAAAGTTATAAAAGTTTGCTAGACAATTGTGTCAAATATAACGACTGGAAGTTACAATAATGGGTAGACAAATATGTTAAACTTGTCGGCTAAAAGTTATAATGTTTTATTAGAGAAGTGTTTTAAAAGTAACAGCGGAAAGTTACAATGTTTTGCTAGACAAGGGTGTTAAAATTAACGGCTGTGTTAAACAAACAGGCAAATCTCTTATTTATTTATACGATATCACCACACTACGCAATACCAAGAACTTAACTCGTATCCTTACTTAAGCACACACGCACACACAATCTAACAATTAACCATGATCTTATTTTAAACATTAACCTTAATCTAACAATAATCGTATATATCATTTTAGCCTATTATTTTTAAGTGCTCTTACTCTAATTACATTTACAGCCAACGTAAGTTTTACACCTACACTGGGTGTCTTTGATATATGCATATTGATTGAATTTAAAAACCAGTGTCAGTTATAAATTAATAATATAATTACTAACTAAGCCTTCTAATTTTTTAACAAAACAACAGATCAACTTTACTAAAGATACGGAAAGCTTGTTTTGTTTTAGGATTGTCTTCTTTATTTATTATCTTAAGCTGTTTACAACTAATCAAGGCACTTGATACAGTGTACTACGGATCAATCCAAAGTCTAACTAATTTGTAAGTTTAAAAGGAAGTTTATAACTAAATGCATTATACAGTTGGAATTTTCTTTTAAATATATAAAAAGAAAGAATTTTTTAATTTTTTAAATCATAAAAAAAACTTTTTAAAACTTAAGATGTACAATACAGTGGAAAATATTATAAAAAGAAAGTAAAGGGTTAAAAAAAAAAGTAAAAAATCAACTTACTTGACTCTGGTGAAGATTTCAGTGGCTTGGCGGACTGACGGCCTTGCCTCAGCTGAAAGGGAGAGAAATCATTAAGATTATCTCTAATCAAAGTAGTTTCCCTTGGAACGTTTTCTTATCTGATTGTTATATTTAAAAAAAAAATATTAAATCTAATTTTTGATACTATAGTGTATAATTTTTTACAAAATTATTAATACCGGACCCATTATTTACATTTGTACACGTTGTTTTGGTGTGAAGTTCACCCGAGTAAACAATATGGTTGCAGTTCTGTTCATATGAGCGTATTTTATTGAAAAATATCAGAGCTTTCGTAAGGCTTTTCTAAAAGGAACGGCCCCTTGAGTTTACCCAGCTTTATTGGGTACATAACATCAGTTGAACAGCTAACATTCCTAAGTATTATATTGATCACGTATTAGGAAAACAATCTCTGTATCATTGATGAGTTAATGTTCTGTAAAGGTTTGTTAAATTGATTAAAATTGTTTTAAAGCTTTGGTATCCTTCTGTTCAAGTAACATCCTACTTTTTGATAATTTATCGTAAGTTTTAAATAAATTAATCAAACATTGTTTTAAAACTTTGGTATATTTCAGTTTTAATTTTTTTTAAATTTATCTTGGGTTTTAATTGTAAGCTAAATGAATTTATCAAAAGTTGTTATAACACTTTAGTATATTTTAGTTTTAATTTTTAAAATTTATCTTGGGTTTTAATTATAAGCTAAATTAATTTATCAAACATTGTTTTAAAACTTTAGAATATTTCAGATTTAATTGTTAAAAATTATCTTGGTTTAAATTATAAACTAACACATATTTTTAACATTGTTTCAAAACTTGAGTATCCTAATATTTAAGTTTCCATGTTTCAAAATCCACCTTGGCTTATTAATTACACTAATTAACAAAAGCGCTGGGCTTACCCAAGGCAAGAACGACCAAAGCTAAAATGATCTTCATCTTGACGTGCCTCAGGGAGTACCTCTAAGAAGACACACTTAGACCCAGGCTCACAAGCTACTTATATAGCTCCGTTTTTTGTCCACCAACTATGGTCGAATTTCGCAATTAAAAAAAAGTGTTAATCTTTTGTTCATGAGGTATAGTTTACTATCTATGTGTGAACTAACAGTTGCAATTTTTATGGATTTTAATTTTGACAAATTTGTTTAAAAAAATATAATAGTACTAATTAAGTATTGATTTATATGAAGGAATGTTTATGTTTAAAGAAAAAGGTATTACAATTATGTTGTGTGAAAAAAAAATGTGATAATTTAATACCTTAGTTTTGGTGGTGTTAATGTGCTAAGTATGGAGGAAGTTTTTCACAAGAAGCGACAGATGAGATTAATTTTTATTACTGCTGAAGATAATGGACGTCTAGTTACCAAACAGGAAATATTTTTGTTTTTCGCAAACACATTGGATAATCTACCTAAATTGAGCATGTAGGATACTGGATATTTACTGAACAGACAGAATAGTGGACATTTAGTTATCATATAGGCTACATATACTGGACATTGACTGAACATATAGGTTGCAGGAAATATACTACAAAGATATAGCACTAGACATTTACTGAGTATATGATTTGCTAGTTCATAGCGTTTGATAAACTTTTAGGGAATAAATAAGTTACTGAATATTTATTGAACATACTTGAAACTGGACATTTACTGAATTTTTATTGAACATATTTGAAACTGGACATTTACTGAATATTTATTGAACATACTTGAAACTGGACATTTACTGTTCACACGTGGAATAGACTTTTAATTGGCGGACGGGGGTGTGGACATTTGACCAGCACACAAAACTGGGGACATTTAATTAGCAGAAGACTGGGGACATTCAATTAGCAGACTAGACTGGGGACATTTAATTAGCAAACAGAACTAGGGACATTTAATTAGCAGACTAGACTGGGGACATTTAATTAGCAGACAGAACTAGGGACATTTAATTAGCAAACAGAACTAGGGACATTTAATTAGCAGACAGAACTAGGGACATTTAATTAGCAGAAGACTAGGGACATTTAATTAGCAGACTAGACTGGGGACATTTAATTAGCAAACAGAACTAGGGACATTTAATTAGCAGACTAGACTGGGGACATTTAATTAGCAGACTAGACTGGTGACATTTAATTAGCAGACTAGACTGGGGACATTTAATTAGCAGACTAGACTGGTGACATTTAATTAGCAGACTAGACTAGGGACATTTAATTAGCAAACAGAACTAGGGACATTTAATTAGCAAACTAGACTGGGGACATTTAATTAGCAGACTAGACTGGTGACATTTAATTAGCAGACTAGACTGGGGACATTTAATTAGCAAACAGAACTAGGGACATTTAATTAGCAAACTAGACTGGGGACATTTAATTAGCAGACTAGACTGGGGACATTTAATTAGCAAACTAGACTGGGGACATTTAATTAGCAGACTAGACTGGTGACATTTAATTAGCAGACTAGACTGGTGACATTTAATTAGCAAACAGAACTAGGGACATTTAATTAGCAGACTAGACTGGGGACATTTAATTAGCAGACTAGACTGGGGACATTTAATTAGCAGACTAGACTGGGGACATTTAATTAGCAGACTAGACTAGGGACATTTAATTAGCAGACTAGACTGGAGACATTTAATTAGCAGACTAGACTGGGGACATTTAATTAGCAGACTAGACTGGTGACATTTAATTAGCAGACTAGACTGTGGACATTTAATTAGCAGACTAGACTGGGGACATTTAATTAGCAGACTAGACTGGGGACATTTAATTAGCAGAATAGACTGGGGACATTTAATTAGCAGACTAGACTAGGGGCATTTAATTAGCATACAAGACTAGGGACATTTAATTAGCAGACTAGACTGGGGACATTTAATTAGTAGACTAGACTGGGGACATTTAATTAGTAGACTAGACTGGGGACATTTAATTAGCAGACTAGACTGGGGACATTTAATTAGCAGACTAGACAGGGGACATTTAATTAGCAGACTAGACTGGGGACATTTAATTAGCAGAATAGACTGGGGACATTTAATTAGCAGACTAGACTAGGGGCATTTAATTAGCATACAAGACTAGGGACATTTAATTAGCAGACTAGACTGGGGACATTTAATTAGCAGACTAGACTGGGGACATTTAATTAGCAGACTAGACTAGGGACATTTAATTAGCAGACTAGACTGGGGACATTTAATTAGCAGACTAGAATGGGGACATTTAATTAGCAGACAAGACTGGGTACATTTAATTAGCAGAAGACTGTGGACATTTAATTAGCAGACTAGACTAGGGGCATTTAATTAGCAGACTAGACTGGGGACATTTAATTAGCAGACTAGACTGGGGACATTTAATTAGCAGACTAGACTGGTGACATTTAATTAGCAGACTAGACTGGTGACATTTAATTAGCAAACAGAACTAGGGACATTTAATTAGCAGACTAGACTGGGGACATTTAATTAGCAGACTAGACTGGGGACATTTAATTAGCAGACTAGACTGGGGACATTTAATTAGCAGACTAGACTAGGGACATTTAATTAGCAGACTAGACTGGAGACATTTAATTAGCAGACTAGACTGGGGACATTTAATTAGCAGACTAGACTGGTGACATTTAATTAGCAGACTAGACTGTGGACATTTAATTAGCAGACTAGACTGGGGACATTTAATTAGCAGACTAGACTGGGGACATTTAATTAGCAGAATAGACTGGGGACATTTAATTAGCAGACTAGACTGGGGACATTTAATTAGCAGACTAGACTAGGGACATTTAATTAGCAGACTAGACTGGAGACATTTAATTAGCAGACTAGACTGGGGACATTTAATTAGCAGACTAGACTGGTGACATTTAATTAGCAGACTAGACTGTGGACATTTAATTAGCAGACTAGACTGGGGACATTTAATTAGCAGACTAGACTGGGGACATTTAATTAGCAGAATAGACTGGGGACATTTAATTAGCAGACTAGACTAGGGGCATTTAATTAGCATACAAGACTAGGGACATTTAATTAGCAGACTAGACTGGGGACATTTAATTAGTAGACTAGACTGGGGACATTTAATTAGCAGACTAGACTGGGGACATTTAATTAGCAGACTAGACAGGGGACATTTAATTAGCAGACTAGACTGGGGACATTTAATTAGCAGAATAGACTGGGGACATTTAATTAGCAGACTAGACTAGGGGCATTTAATTAGCATACAAGACTAGGGACATTTAATTAGCAGACTAGACTGGGGACATTTAATTAGCAGACTAGACTGGGGACATTTAATTAGCAGACTAGACTAGGGACATTTAATTAGCAGACTAGACTGGGGACATTTAATTAGCAGACTAGACTGGGGACATTTAATTAGCAGACAAGACTGGGTACATTTAATTAGCAGAAGACTGTGGACATTTAATTAGCAGACTAGACTAGGGGCATTTAATTAGCAGACTAGACTGGGGACATTTAATTAGCAGACTAGACTGGGGACATTTAATTAGCAGACAGGACTGGGACATTTAATTAGCAGACTAGACTTGAGACATTTAATTAGCAGACTAGACTGGGGACATTTAATTAGCAGACTAGACTGGGACATTTAATTAGCAGACAAGACTGGGGACATTTAATTAGCAGACTAGACTGGGGACATTTAATTAGCAGAAGACTGGGGACATTTAATTAGCAGACTAGACTGGGACATTTAATTAGCAGACTAGACTGGGGACATTTAATTAGCAGACTAGATTGGGGACATTTAATTAGCAGACTAGACTGGGGACATTTAATTAGCAGACTAGACTAGGGGCATTTAATTAGCATACAAGACTAGGGACATTTAATTAGCAGACTAGACTGGGGACATTTAATTAGCAGACTAGACTGGGGACATTTAATTAGCAGACTAGACTAGGGACATTTAATTAGCAGACTACACTGGGGACATTTAATTAGCAGACTAGACTGGGGACATTTAATTAGCAGACTAGACTGGGGACATTTAATTAGCAGACTAGACTGGGGACATTTAATTAGCAGAAGACTGGGGACATTTAATTAGCAAACTAGACTGGGGACATTTAATTAGCAAACAGAACTAGGGACATTTAATTAGCAAACTAGACTGGGGACATTTAATTAGCAGACTAGACTGGTGACATTTAATTAGCAGACTAGACTGGTGACATTTAATTAGCAAACAGAACTAGGGACATTTAATTAGCAAACTAGACTGGGGACATTTAATTAGCAGACTAGACTGGTGACATTTAATTAGCAGACAAGACTAGGGACATTTAATTAGCAAACTAGACTGGGACATTTAATTAGCAAACTAGACTGGTGACATTTAATTAGCAGACTAGACTGGTGACATTTAATTAGCAGACTAGACTGTGGACATTTAATTAGCAGACTAGACTGGGGACATTTAATTAGCAGACTAGACTGGGGACATTTAATTAGCAGAATAGACTGGGGACATTTAATTAGCAGAATAGACTGGGGACATTTAATTAGCAGACTAGACTAGGGGCATTTAATTAGCATACAAGACTAGGGACATTTAATTAGCAGACTAGACTGGGGACATTTAATTAGCAGACTAGACTGGGGACATTTAATTAGCAGACTAGACTAGGGACATTTAATTAGCAGACTACACTGGGGACATTTAATTAGCAGACTAGACTGGGGACATTTAATTAGCAGACAAGACTGGGGACATTTAATTAGCAGACTAGACTGGGGACATTTAATTAGCAGAAGACTGTGGACATTTAATTAGCAGACTAGACTAGGGGCATTTAATTAGCAGACTAGACTGGGGACATTTAATTAGCAGACTAGACTGGGGACATTTAATTAGCAGACAGGACTGGGACATTTAATTAGCAGACTAGACTGGGGACATTTAATTAGCAGACTAGACTAGGGGCATTAATTAGCAGACTAGACTGGGGACATTTAATTAGCAGACTAGACTGGGGACAT